CGTCAGTCTCTGCAGACCTCACCCGTCTGCTCCCCCCTCGCGTTCCTCCCTCTTGACTCCTTTGCCTAGCAAGCTGATCTCAGACATGCACATGTGTTCAAAGGCGCAGGCAGCAGCTCTGTTCGCCCGTCATCGGATGCATGCGAGGAGGGTTTCTGCTGCGGCGGGTAAAGCTGAAGCAGCATGAAAGAGGCAGCACGGAAGGGCTCACACAGAGAAAGAGCAAGTCCCTCCTCCATATCGGTTTACCGCGTCTTCATTCACAACCCACATGACAGCATGGAATCGAAACTCAACACTACATCACCGAGCGAGTGCTGAGCTGGCCAGTGCGAGCAAGAAGCTTAAAGCAAATCTCGCGTTGCAAGCAACATCAGTTTGATTCCGGATGCTGAAACATCTCAGGATACACACAACGTTTTTCCATCATCCAAAACTTCCATTGTGCTAATTTCTGATCTCAATGTTCCTCAAACAACTATTCCTATCAATGTATTCGTGATCCTTCTCCCTATTCTGCTGAAAATCACGCCATGAAGGTTTGACAAGGTGATGGTCAAGGTATGTGTAAACTGAATACATTGTTACATGAACCACGAGACAGAGACATTTTCTGATAGACGACCCGCTGAATAACAGGTTCATGATTTCTGCTTAGAGATAGAATTGCTGATAATTCGTGCGATAGTATAAAAGCTTAATGAATGCCTTTCAGACATTGCTTGTTGGCACCAACACAAACAAACTACATGGCACTGCAGGATGCTATCGCTTCATCGTCATCAAAATGCGCAAGTGAAGTCTATGAAGAGGATAAAGTTATCAGGAACTTGAATGTTATGAACACTACCAGTTCTGATCTCCATCTGACTCTAATCTCGAAACACGTTCCAAATAAAACATTTGTTATGTTACTTCCAACAACCACTTTTAGATTATATGGTCTGAAGTTATCTACATCCCATACTTATGTTTGTATGCTATTTGTTTGTTGAGCATGAATATCTTCTAGAGGAGTGATGGTGGGTCAAGGTCTGCATGCCTGGAAACAGTGAAATGACATACAACCTCAATGGAACGAAGCAAAATATCGTACCTGTCTACCAACTGCTTCTGCATTTCGAATTTTGCATAAATGGCAAGCAGGTGGTGCTATGGGGACAGGAGAGGAGATGTGAGCATGAATCATCGTGGGATGAAGTGAAGACAGCACAGGAAGTCCGAGGGGGCAGTGAGAGGATCATGTCTGAAACCGCATGGCATGAAAACTCAAAATTTACCCCTGGATGTTCTACCCCCTACCCCTTTTAATGCTGCCACCCTACCCTAGAGAAAAACGTTCCCCCGCCCTACTAAAATATGCCCCCTCCCACCCCCTACCCCCTTCAAGTAACGTCTGGTGAGGAGGTGTGTTACATCGACAGTTTCTTTCTGGTATTCTCCTAAGATCAACCGCTAATGATATGAGGAATGCCCCTTCTCTCAAGATACTTTCACCCCCCACCCCCTTACTCTAGGTATCCCCACCCCGACGTCCAAACACCTCGAAAATTGACCCCCATTCCCTACCTCCTGGGCCTCGCTACCACCCCTGCTAGAGGATTGCTTCTCAGCCTCCTTCTCATTTCACCCCTTAGCAATAGATATTTCATAAACATTTCATTAATCAAATAGCCATATGTATGCCTCTAGCCTCTTTTAGAACGCAACCACCTCTACCAGGTGGCCACTGTGTGGATTGCCCCTAGATCTACCCCGTACCCACTCCACATCAGATGTTATTTCAAGCCTGCCCCACCGAAAGTCGATTTCGCCTTCAAATTTCAACAAACCTCTATTTATTGTGCTGTCTTTTTATTAGTACATAATTATCACTCGAGGCGGACCCGTTCGGGTATTTGTCGATAGATTTTCCCGCCATTTTCCGAGTTTGTGGCATGCGGTTCCGAGCGCTGTACACGCTGCAGAAGACGCAGAAGACGAAGCGATGGGCCGATGGGTTCCTCGTATGCGGGGGCTTTGGCCAGGTGAAACTGCTGGATGAAGAAGGGAAGGAGCTTGCCTCCGATTTCAAGCATGTAAAGGTGATTTTGAGAAAATGTCGTCGAGGACGAGGTGTCCTGACTGTGGCGAGCAGATCGCCGAGGGGGATCGGATTGAGTTTGATCTTTACCTTGTTGATGTAGACGAGGTCGATCAAGAACATCATGAACCTGAACAGAAATGTCCCCCTGCGCTGACTGCGAATCTCAACACAACAACGAGACCCATGAACCAGCCGTCGCTACCCAGCAGAAATTCCTACAAATCTGCCCCAAGATTGGGATCTCGCCCTGCACTCCCATTTAAGGGCCCGTCACTTGCTAGAGACGAAACCGTCTCACCCTATCCTGTAAATGCATTCAATCCAAACTCAACTCTTTCCGCTCCAGCTAAAAGTGGATTCCAATCATCCTCCAGCGCTGTGGAAACAAGAAGCAACACAGATATCTTGGCCCTTCTCAATTTCCCAACCTCTGAAATACACATCAAGGAGGATGAAACGTCGTTTGTAAAACAGGACAATCCCAGCTCTGCTGCAAATTCAAGTATTGAAGTCGATGTAGATGATGTGCTTGTAGATTCGGTTGATGGCAATTCCGAGGTAGTCAAACTCTCAGGCCCTGACTTAGAGGCTCCATCTCAGGTTTCAGCGAAAGGTAGTTTTTCACCGCCTCCATTGACAGAGCTTTCTTACGACAGAGAATAGGTTTCTTTGCTCTAAAAAATCCCAATTTGATGAAAACCAATATGCCTGCATGGAAACCAATGAATGCATTCAAGAGGCCCAAGCATAATCATTTTTCGATGAAAGAGGTGAATTCTTGAAACTATTTCTTAACGATATGACTCCATATGAAATAGAATACCGTTGAGCCTTCTACTTCTCTGCGTGCGGAGCAAGCAATGCACTTGAGACATGACCGTGAAGTACAGGAAAGGTGCAGAAATGCTGCCGTTTCAAAGACAAATTTGAATGGATTCGGAAATATCAATTTCCCATCTCCAGAAAGCATGGATAAACAGAGTGTAAGAATTGAAATCCCTGATACTTTCAGGACCCCAGTTGAATACCGCACATCCTACATTGCAGCATTAGAAGAGGAAATCAAGTAAACAAATTCAATGGTACGTATTTGTTTGACTGAAATGATTCGGCAGTTCCAAAATTTGTGAGTCAGCCAGTGCCTTATATGCTGCGATCCGTGAAGTCTCAGGATCTCAAGCAGCTGTCGTGAAGTGCAATTGTCAGAAAACAGCAGTCACGCGCACTGTCAAAAAAGAGGGCACAAATTGTGGCAGAAAGTTTCTCTCATGTGGACAAAACAGAAAATGCAATTTTTTCAAGTGGCTTGACTCTGCTCCTGCTATTTCAGAAATCAAAAATGTCAATGACTTGGAAATTAATCTCAACAAAGATTTGGACCTTACGATTCTCAAACAGAGATTTCAACTGCCCATCTTTCAGTGTGAAGTTGTATCTGAAAACAAGTTTCCGAAATTTTTTGGCAAAACTTCGGATGAAATGGTTTCCAGACCAAAACGCAATTGCGTAAAATTGATGGGTTGCTCTGAAAAATTACATGGATTTACCAAGGACGACCTTTGGATACTATCAACTTCTCCATTTTTTAAGGCAGATCCACGTGCTAAGATTGTGCTTTGCCGCAGTTCATGGTCGCTTCAGACCTTTATTTGATTAGACTGCTTTGACAGATGTGCAGGTTTGGATTGGATTCAGAAGATCGATTGCATTTAGATGTGCTCGGAGGGAGTTGGAACTCCTTGCTTGGAAGAACTTCACTCTTCGCGTTATGCGGACCAAATATTTCTTCAGAATTTCAGATGCTCCAATCCTTGAAAGACTTCAACCCAACAGAAATTCCGTTGCTTCCTACAATCCTTTCTGGTGCGCACCGAACAAAGTCAGAATTTCGAGAGAAACTCTGTATGAAAAGGCAGGGTATAATTCTCTCCATCGAAGAGCATAAGCTAAGGGAAGAAGTTGACCGTGTGATCCAAGAGTTTGAACTCAATGAAGAGCAAGGAAGTGTAATTGAGGTATTTTGATATTGTCTCGCTGGTATGCATGACAATATTGCAGCATGTCGGAAAGCTTTTACATCAACCAGAGTCTTCCGATCCAGTGGTACTTGTTCATGGTGTATTCGGTTCCGGAAAATCTACTTTGCTAGTGGCATTGGTTATGTTTCTCACACGAGTTTTCGAAACATCCACCCAGGAAACCTGTAATGAGAATCGAGTCCTTATTACAGCGGCGACCAACGTGGCTGTGGACAACATTTTGATGGGTTTAGTCAAACGCGATTTCCATGATTTCGTCAGGGTATTATCAATTCACATTTTGTCCACTACACGATTTTGATTTCTTGTCTAACAGGTTGGATGTCTTAAAAGAATAGCAAAGCCAATTTTGAAATACACCTTGAAAGAGACTGGGAGTGACGAAAAAGTTGACCAAGAATCAGTCAAAGAGCTAGAAGAAATCCTAAGAACTTGCAAGGACTCTGACGAAATCAAAGATATCAAAATCGCTATTACACAGTACTATTTTCTCTGGTGTAGAAAATGCATGACATCTTTCCGTAGATGTAAGGATGGAAGGATGCGTGAAAGGAAGAAAGCTTTATCCAGCACCAAGGTTGTCGGCGTAACATGTGCCAGCACCAAACAAGATATTTTGGAAAATCAAAGGTGCGTCTGCCTTTCTATCTCAAACCGTATTGGTGATATGTTCGTATAGATTTTCCATTGTCATCCTTGACGAATGCTCTCAGTGCATTGAACCCTTGTCATTTTTACCTGTCGCAAAATTTGGATGCAAGATTCTGGTCGGGGCCGGCGATCCTATGCAATTGCCACCTACCCTTACTGGACATGAAAATTCTTCAAAGCTACTTCAGAACAATGACTTGAGCAAAACCATGTTTACTCGAATGATGAACACTGGAATCTCTCCGATTTTGCTGAAAAGACAGTATCGTTGTCACCCAGTGCTCGGGAGTTTAGCTTCGGATCTGTTTTATGACAGCAAGTTGGTCAACGGTGTGAGCGAAGAGAAAAGGAGTCCTTTGGTGAAGGGTTGGCCTCCACTTTTGTTTTTCGACATATCTGGAGCAGGCGCCAGAGAAACCGTGCAGGATAGTGGATCATTTGTGAATGTACAGGAAGCACTTTTTATCACATGGTTAGCCAACGCTTTGGTGAGCAATGGGGTAAGTTGTAAACAAATTGGTATCATTTGTTTGTATAAGGCCCAAGCGTTTCATGTTCAAACTCTGTTGCATCAATCAGATTCGTCATCTGCACATAGTATACAAGTGTCTACAGTTGATGCTTTTCAAGGCGGGGAGAGGGAGATTGTATTGGTTTCGAGTTGCAGAACGCAATCTTTAGGATTCATAGCATCACCAAACAGGATGAATGTTGCAATCACACGATCTCGAAGACATTTGGTAATCGTCGGTTGCAAAAGGACGCTTCCACAAAATGAACATTGGAGGTTAATTCTCGAACGTGCGTCTTCATTACCTGGAGGCTACAGAGACTCCTGTGAGTATCAAATGTCGAATGACATTGAAATATTAGATGGAGTTGAATCAGGTATACTTTTACTGGAGTTGTGAGACAGCTAACGCAATGTTCAGATGATCTAGAGAGTCCTCCCCAGAATTTGAGCAACCCGTCTTCTGATTCCGATTCATCAAGGCAGGGGCAAAGTGAAGGACCAAAGCGAATTTCGTCCGGGACGAATATGTTTGCTTCGTTTGATCTTGAGAGTGACGAATCGCTCTCAGATTGAATTGGAATCGACGTGATTTTTCCATCTTGTTGGGTTGCACCGTCATTGGAAATTGTAACTATATTTCAATATCTCTTGTAGCTCTGTACACACATGAAATGATGCATCGAATGGATTTTCAATTCACTCAGAATTGCATGAAAACCGAAGAGAAGAAAAGAATGAGCTATTGAACTTCAAACGTTTTTACATCAACAGTGTCTGAGATAAATCATAATGCACAACAAGAAACAAACTATGTGAATTGCATATTCCGGCCTTGTTAGACTGGCACCTGCGAAACAAGAGCAGCTTTGCTGCGTGGCCTGTTTGTGTGCAACGTCAACAAACACGTCTCATCACAGCAGTATCCTCACTGTATCCACTCCATTGACACAAGTTTGTGCAGCCACTTGTCCCGACATAACAAAGTCACTGCACCTGTCGCACCATCATGGCCTGTCCATGTCCTGACTCCTCCACCCTCTGACCTTGCGGTAGCGATCTTGTCACCGGAGGAAGCGGCACAGCTCTTGAATGCCGTGTAGCATGAATCCCAGCAGAGCTGAGTAATCATATCAGAGGAGAGACAAAACCAGCAGACCGTCTCTTACCGGCACTGTGATTCGATACCGGCAAAGGGGAAAGTAGAGCCCGCACACAAAACGGCTGAAGACTTGAATCTGATGAGCAGCAGACAGTGAGGATGTGTGCGTATGAGAGCGCCATTGCAGCTCACGCAGTAGTCGTCGTTCTTCATCCTGTAGATCGCAAGGGATCGAACCTGCTCACGATCGAGTTGAGAGGGGGAGGGAGCAAAGGGATCGAGGTCTACCGCCATGTATGCTTCGTTGTCACCTCCAGGATACGCGCAAACATCAGCTGTGATGCGACAACTGCATGACATGCATCACAAGCGAAAGTCAATCCTGGATCGCTTACAATTTATTTTCTGTTGGTCGGCTGCAGTTGGCCATGCAGTAGCCGGTGGAACTGGCAGGAGGAACGAGGACCAGGAGGCAGAAAAGACAAAAGAGGAAGCGCATCGACATCCGACGGATGTAAGCGAGAGCAAGAAGGAATGTTGCTGATCGTGCCGCCTTCACATTTCAACTATATGCTTTCAACATGCGGCAGCACAACACTCAGGTACTTGCAAGTTTCTGTGCTTTTCTGGAATCTTGTTTGTAACTACTATGCTCGCTTCCGATTGATCCTTCACCTTGCCTCACTACCTACTCGAGCTGCTGCTGCTCGTGCTGCTGCTCCTGCTGCTGCTGCTCCTCCTCCTCCTCCTGCTCCTCTTCCAACAAGAGCCTCCCTACCTCCCTTCGCAGTCCTGCTGCCTACCAACGACAGCCACATCCTTTCCACCCCCACCCCTCACACCCACCACCCCTTCATATCCCTGTGTACTACCCTGTCTCACCTACCACCCTCCTTTCCCATCGCAAACCTCCTTGGCTATTTTCGACAGTGCCTTGTCTCCATGGCTCCGACCGAACTCCTGCCCGCTGCTGCTGCTGCTGCTCCTCCTCCTCCTCCTCCCTCTCCTCCTCCCTCTCCTCCTCCCTCTCCTCCTCCCTCTCCTCCTCATTCTCTTCCTCGACGGTCTTGTCACCCATCACCAACGCCAACTCCTCATGCATATTTCATGCTCACAGTCTTGCCTCCCCTTTTCCTGCTCCTTCTCTTCTCCCTCCACTTGAAGTCACGGAGGAGAGTCGTCTGCTTCTGTGGGGATCCAACTAACGTTCTCTCTCTCAGCTGTCATCATGTTCGCTCTTCTTCAGAAGCTGCACGATGAGACGATGGTGAGTTGAGCTGAGGGTCCATGGGGCTTGACGTGCATGGCAGACTCAGAGTCTCTGGCCATTGGACCTGTACTCGGACTGCAAGAGCGGCAACCACCACAGCACGGGGGAGGAAGGGATGTCCGACTGCGCTGAGGACGTTGACAACGGTAGTGAGGAGGAGCGATGTGGGCGACGAGGATAACGATCGTGTGCAGACACCCTGGACATGACGAAGGCCCCGTACGCCATCGGGAGGAGGAGCCTGCATCCTACCATGTTCGCGTGAAGATGCGAGGGAAGGATGGCAACGACTGTACTTTATCTCGTCCTTACCTTGATGACCCGTGAAGATTACTGTTGACATCGACCGAAGGGAATTTCCGAGGGAGGAGAGGAGAGGAGGAGATGGGTTAGAGGAGTGCAGAGGAGAGGAGGGGAGATGGGTTGGGGGGGGGGTGGGAAGTGACGGGGAAAGAAGGGCAGGGGAGCAGGAGGGATTAGATTGGAGGGAAGTGGTATGGGAGAGGAGAGGAGAGGAGCGGATGGATTGGAGGGGAGAAGACTAAACGTTTCACAACTCGTTTACTCGGCAGGGTTGAGTGAGTCCTAGAGGAGGAGCTGATCAAGGTGAAAGAATCTCCTCGCCTATCGCAGCTCGACGTTGAGCTTCTTCGCCACGAGCTCTCGCACTTGCTCCTGGATCTTGTCCACCTCCTCGTTGGTCAACGATCGATCCATGGCCCTGTGCTTACGTCAGCCAAGGGGAGGGGAATAAGAGCAGAGGAGGGAAGAGGGGGAGGCGAACGAAGAGGGAGATCGGCCATGGCGAGCAGAGAATGGCAGATGGAGGGAGAGGAGAATATGAAGGAGGGAGGGAGCAGGAGGAGGGAGGGAGGGAGAGAGGTGAAGGAAGGAGGGAGGGAAAGAGGAGGAAGAGGGAGGGAGAGGGGACGAGGAGGGCTGTCACCTGTAGTTTATGCGATAACAGTGGGAGGTCTTTCCCTTCTTGGGGTTGTCGAACCTGCAGAGCAGCCGTCATGCCAGGACGAGACGAGAAGCTCGGGCTACTTGTCAACCAACTCCACGCTCTCCACAATGTCACCGGCGATGTTTCTGTGGGGGCATGAAGGGTCAACGCGACCGGCAGCCGCAGGCTCCTCACTGACCTCACGAGCTCGAAGAAGTTGTTCTCCTGCCAGTCCCCAGGAAGCCAGAAAGACACGTCCTGTGCCCTTGTTGAGGATGGGGAGGAGGAGGGGGAGGAAGAAAGGAAGAGGGGAAGAGAAGATGCAGAGATGGATAGGGGCAAGGGAGGAAGAGGAAGAGGAAGGAGGAGGAGGAGGAGGAGGAGGAGGAGGAGGAGGAGGAGGAGGAGGAGGAGGAGGAGGAAGGAAGGAAGGAAAAGGAGGGAGAGAACGGGTCTCAGTACCTTGTAGCAAGGAGGATACTTAGAGAAAGGTTGGAACTTTGTGATCACTCCATCCTTGAATTGTTTCAAAAATCGTTCTGCCCAGGTCAAGTCTCAGCAATTTTCGCACAAGCAACAAATCTCCTCCCGCTGTCGTTCCCTTCCTTCTCTCCCTCTCCCTCCTTTCCTTTTCCTCTCCCCGTCCTCCCCTCTCCTCCCTCTCAAGCTGACCGTCTTCAGTCCAGAAGAGTCGGATGTCCTGCCTGACGTCAGACTCCAGCAGCAGCTCAGCTCAGCTCAGCTCAGCTCAGCTCACCGGGATGTCAAAGAGCACCATGGCGAGACGCTCAAGACCGAGACCGAAGGCCCACCCGTGCTGCGGGTGACGTCAGCAGCCGGAGGTCAGCCGGGAAAGCTACCGCATCCTTCATCTCGCAGCCGTCGAGGATCTGCTGCTGGATGACGCCGCAGCCGAGAACTTCCAGCCACTTGTCCTGGTAGAAGATCTCGAGCTACAAGCCAGTTACCCTCCTCCTCCTCCTCCTCTTCCTCCTCCTCCTCCCTTCCCATCTCTTCTTCACATTCCTCCTCTCTCTCCCTCCCCTCCTTCACCTCGTAGGAAGGCTCCGTGAAGGGGAAGTAAGCATCAACCCAACGCTTCTCCACCTTTACGTATGTGAACGACGAAGAAAGACAGGAGGGAGAGAGGGAGGAGAGGGAGGAGAGGGAGGGAGGAGAGGGAGGGAGGAGAGGGAGGGAGGAAGAGAGATCAAGATCAGCTGACCGGTCCGAAAATGGCGTCAACCATGCCTGAGTGAAAGAGTTATTGGGAGAAAAGGCAGGAAGACGAAGGAAGGAAGTGAACGAAGGAGGAAGGAAGTAGAAGAAGAAGAGGACCAAAGGATGAGAGAGGTTCACCTTCGAGATGGTCCTTGAGGTCTTCAGAGCACATCTTGACCCACTGCTCGCTGCTCTCCAATCAGCCCCCCCCCCCCCCTCCCCCTCCTCTCAGCCTCCTCCCCCTCACAGCCTCTGTCTCTTGCTCCACTCACCGATCCTCCATGCCAGTGCATTCTTTCAAGATCTTCACTCCCTCCATTTGATGAAACCTGTCATCACCATCCTCAGCGTCTTTGAATCTTCAATCATCATCATCATCTTCTTCTTCTTCTTCGTCATCATCATCAAAAACAACAACGCCATCGTCGTCATCATCGTTATCGTGATCATCATCATCATCATCAACGTCATCGTCATCATCATCATCGTCATCGTCATCGTCATCGTCATCGTCATCGTGATCTTCTTTCAAACTCACGCAGGGTAGTGAGAAGCGTCAATCTCATCGCGTCTGTAAACATCGCCAGTGCCTGCGAAGTTACATCACAACTCCCCTAAAGCTCCTGCTGCTGCTGCTGCTGCTGCTGCTGCTGCTGCTGCTGCTGCTGCTGATGATGATGATGATGATGATGATGCTTCTGCTGCTTCTGCTGCTGCTGCTGCTGCTGCTGCTCCTGTTCTCCTTCCCCCAACTTCTGCTCTCTTCTCCATCCTCTTCTCCACCTTCTCCACTTACAGAGAAATTTTCTGCTCCCTCCCCGGAGGAGCTCGGTCTGGTGTGCGCTGGTGTGGGTGCGGAGGAGGCGATCCTGGTCGAGGTAGTAGGTGTCGGATGGTCGACGGCTGACGTGATCCTTGGGAATGAGGAGATCGTCGAAGCACTGAAGCTGATGTGAGAAGGAGAGAGGAGGGAGGAGGGAGGAGGGAGGAGGGAGGAGGGAGGAGGAGGGGGAGGGGGAGGGGAGAGGAGAGGGAGGGAGTGGGAAGTGGGAAGGGGAAAGGGAGTGGGAAGGAGT